GATTTAGGTAAATAAAGATGTTGCATCATGACAAACTATTTAACCAGACCATATTATTTTATGTATATCTAAATTTATGTAATTGTTTCTTGTTAATTTAGTCTTTTGATGGAATTTCAAAACATCATAAATTTGAAGAGTATAATATCCAACCTTAAAAATTCTAGATGAACAACATTTTCTATCTCAATTTAGGGAAAAAAAACAAAAAAAAAAAAATACAAGTTTTGATAAAATAATTGAGTTTGGCTATATAGGATATTTTGTTTTTTTATCCTTAAGAGTCCAATTACAAGCTCCTTTAGAAGGTGGTTAATTTTTGTTTTTGTATTCTNGCTCCTTTAGAAGGTGGTTACTTTTTGTTTTTGTTTTCTTTTTTTTTTTAGTTAATAAATATGTGGGTGGAGTGTTTGAATATTTAACCTCTTTGCAGATGCATGTGTGGTCTTGACTAGTTGAGCTACACACAAATTGATATTAAAGAATTTTTGTTAAATTGAACATTTTGACTATGGAATTGTATCAACTCTTATGGTTCTAATTTTTTTTCATCTTTTTCAATATGAATTTGTGCACACAATTTAGGGGAGCATATTCTTCCGTTGAAACAGGAATACAGCTAGGAATTCAGAGAGAATTTGTGGAGACGACATTGTTTTGGTGTAACTTTAGCAGCAATTATGGGAAGCTTTTGTTCGAGGTTTTTTAGCCAGAGAATGAACTTTGGCTTCAAGAACGATGCAACTATTGGCACTGCATTTGGCGTGCAGATAAGAAGGGTTTTTCTTTGTATAATGGTCAAACAAATGTGTACGAGCTCATACATCCATGGACTTCTTAGACAAAACCATCACCTTCGCCTTACTTCACATCAAATCCTTTCTTTTGTGTGAGAGTTGTGACATGCTTGCTGCAACATTACTCTAATAAAAAGTTTACTAATCGTTTTATATGGAAATTTTTAAGATAAAATACTCGTGTCAAAATATTCAATTAGAATAAGATATTGATGTGAACTTGAATATCATACTTTCCATCTTTTAGAAAAATATCGAGCACAAAAATGAAATAAATTTCAAAGTATATACACAAAAAATAAATGTATATTTGACAGAAAGGATGAAATTTTTACCCAAATCAAACTCAAAAAGATGGAATTCTTATATATTTTTCTTCACGTTCAATGCCAAGAAAATATGATAAATATGGTTAAGAGAACCATTTATAACACTGCCTTCATTTACCTGAGATAATTTATGCTAATTAAGGAGAAAATATCGAAAATGCAATGGTCTCCTTGTGGTTTTCTTTATTTTTTTAATTAAAATTAGCACAACTTTGTTTTTCATCAAAATCAAAAATAGTAAATAAAAAAGAATTGATATTTATAACTATGCTAACACATAGGGATATCCAAACTCAACATTCTTATACCATTTAATATTTTGCATGGATATTAACGATAAATTACCTTCCCAAAGAGGATTAAGAGATTGCTCAACCCAAGTTTTTTTTTGGGTGTATAATGAACAAAAACCCAAATGGCTATGCATCCATAAAAGAGGGAATGATCACTTTTAACACCCTAAAGTGTTAACCCAAAACATACATCAAGTTCTTACTAGCGTTACATCATATCATAACCTACTAAACAAGGTTAGATTGCGTACCTGGTCGCGGCGAGGCATGTCGTCAAGCTGAGTCATAGAGGTGTACGACTCTCTATCCTAGGAAAAGTCTATAGAATCAAAAACCCGACTACTCTGATACCAATCTGTCAGGACCTGACTTTCAAGGCTTCAAAAGACCGAATCGTAACTGAAAAGACGAAATCGAAAACAAATAAAAAAAAAATAAAATAGAAGGTAAAAATCCGGAAAAATTTAAAACAAGAAAAGGAAATCAAGGACACCAAAATTAAATATAAAATCAAAATCAAATGTTACAAATAGGAATTGCAAATATAAAATGAAATACAAAAGACTCCAAATATGAAAACGGACGAAGGACTCTAAAAGACCGACAAGGGACTAACGCTCTAGAACGACACCCCTCTGTGACAGTGCAGCTCTCGAACATCTTCTCGTATCGACTGGTACCTGAAAAAAAAAAAAATGAAGGAAAGGGGTAAGTATAAAAATATACTCATTAACCAACCTACTTGTAGGCTCTTTTCGCATCCTTATCTTAGTGGGTATACACGGTCTTATCTCTGGATTCTAGTGAGTGCAAATCATGCTCCACCTCTCTTTTCTGTATCTTGGGAGGTTTGCCTATCTTATGCAATGAAATGATTAGTGTCCTGAGGTGAAGCGCGATCTCATAAGTAATCTGAGGGGATCATATGGCTGGATCTGAATACATGACTCTCTCTGAATATCATCCATGGAGGTTAGTTGACGACCCTTACATGGGACCATACATCCACTAAATGGGGTGCGACCCCCTGTGTGTCGGTCAGCTACTGAGTTATACTACGTGGCTCCATGTCCCCTGCTCAGGGACGGGTTTCTACTGCCCAAGAAACCTGTTCAGAAGACCCTTTAGCTATCACCACTAGGTCTGGGCACCTTTCACACTTCCCTATCCGGATCTGCCAAGCTCAATGATCTCCGTACCGAAGCTCTGTCTCGACGGTACGGTATTGGAGAAGAGAGGGAAGTGGAGGTTCTGATGACACTATCCACACTACTAAACTCTAGCGGGCTACCTACAGTTACCGTAGTGACCTACTATTCTTTCTAGGGTGGAACTTGGTGTCTTAGACTTGGATTCATGCATCTTTAGGATTCTCGTGCAAGGTCTCACAAACCTATCAGGTTTCAAATTCTAGGCTCTGGATCCGCCGGTAATCGTTTCGCAGGTCCAAATGCACGGTATTCTAGAGGTCCCCCAATCTAGGGTCTCATCTAGCCTACTTAGTCACAAATACCCTAATCTAAGCTCATAATTTCTTCCTGTTCATCAAGAAAGATAACACAAGCCATCATCATGCATAGGAGTTAACATGCAGCAGTTCATGCAATATTAACAAACATGCTCAACGGGAAGATAACGTCCACCTTTACCTGGAGCGCAGATTTCACAATTTTTCCATCCTCCTCATGCATACATACTTTATCAGAATCTTAATCAAAACAGATTTAATAAATATTTCATATCTAGCTTTCCTTAATCATTTTATTTTCACAGTTTCCATACTAATATGCTAGGTCCGGCTAGCTAATTTTATGGGTGGTAGCATGCATGCATGTTCCTAGCGGTTCCTACAAGTACTGCTCGTGGGAATTCAAATGGCTACTTACATGGTTGACGTGTGCCTTCCCAAGCTCGAATCATTTACCGGAAAAGGTTCCAAAAATTATGGAATTTCCTTGATAGGTTCTAATTCACATAAAAATAGGATCAGAGTTGAAATCGAGGCAAAAAACAAGCAAACGGAGGTCGAACGGTCACTCACGCGCCTACACGCGCGCTGACACGCTCTGGAGGGTGTACTACGCGTGACTTCTCACGCAGTCGCAGGCCAGCGACCGGTCGGGCCAGTTCGAGTGGTTCGGACTCAGGCCGACCCGATTGCACGGCGCCTGATGCGCTTCTTCAGCCCGCGGTCGCCACGTGTCGCTCGTCGATCCTGCAGCGCTCCTCCGTACGTCGGCCGACATGTGGTGGCGATTCCTCCTCTCTCTTCTTGCGTTTTTTTCCAATTTTCCAGAAACGTGAGTTTTGGTGTTTTCGATCCATTTTCTCCTGATTTTTATATCTTCCAATCCATAATCCGAATCAACAAGTTCTCTTCACGAGTATTATAGATGTCATATTCTATTTCTACAATATATTTTTCTTTTTTTGGTAATCACAGGTCTTATTATTTGAGTTCGAATTTGGGGAAAAACACGAGTTCTTACCGAAAATAACGTTTTCTTGAAACTCCAATTTTCGTCCAGAAACTTCAAAAGACCTGTGTGAATCTTATTTTAGTTACATACCTCAAAAACTCTAGATCTAATGCTCATGAAATTTCTTAGATCTAGATAAAATCGAAACACGAAGTTTAGAATCTTACTTTGTCCGTTCTTAGATTTTTTTGCTGGAATGAGTGGATCCACCACCCAAACTTCTTTTCTAGCACCGAGAGGAGTATTGCTTCGAAGTTTCTTACCTTGGATTAGATCTCCAACAACAATTTGTCTTCTCTACTATTCCTCTCTCCCAAACCCTAACTTCTTCTCGTTTCTCCTTTCTCCTTTCTCTCTCTCTTTTTCTTTTCTTTCTTTTTCTCCTCTTTTTAGAGCCCAAACAACTGGACCCTTTCTAAGAGACCCTTTCTAAGAAACCCTTTGTAAGAGACCCTTTTGCCCATATGTTGTTATTTTATTTATTTATTTATTTATAAAAAAATTCGAGTATTACTTCTTATCTATTTTTCTTTCTGTCTTATCTATTTTATTTTTATTTTCGGTTCAATGCGAAGAAAATATGATAAATATAGTCAAGAGAACCATTTATAACACTGGTTAATGTGCTTGAGATAATTTGTGCTAATTAAGGAGAAAATATAGAAAATCAAACAGTCTCATTTGTGGTTTCCTTTATTTTTTTAATTAAAATTAGGACAGACTTGGTTTTTCATCTCAATCAAAAATAGCAAATAAAAAAGAATTGATATTTATAACTATGCAACACATAGGGATATCCAAACTCAAAACTCTCATAGCATTTAATCTTTTGCATGGATATTAACCTTAAATTACCTTCCCAAAGAGGATTAAGAGCTTGTTCCACACAACTTTTTTTTGTGTGTATAATGAACAAAAACCTAAATGGCTAAGCATCAACAAAAGAGCCTCGAGTATCTAAAGAAAAATTGAAGGATCCATTATTATTAATACACGTTTTGCAGGATCGAAGATACAAGCTATAGGGAGCAAAGGGCAAGAACCATGGAGCGAATGACAAGTGGCTATCTACAATTATCAAACAAACTAAGTTTTAAATGTTCATTGCAAGTCAAGAGATGACGTTTGAGCGAAAGCATTTTGGACAAGCATGCCCGATTCAACTAGAGCTTCACAATGAACTTTTGGCGTACGACTTTATTTTGGTGCAATTTTAATGGTTAGAATGGACATGCTTCATTTGAGGATTTTGGCCCGGGAACTAGTATTAGCTTTCTCCACGGTGTGACTTTAAAAACTGCATTTATGTAGCATTTGATGATGGATTTTACTTGAGAAATATTCCTTCGGGTATCTTTGAATTATACACCCTTGGGAAAAATGAAATAAAATCCCCGAACCACAAAAACCTGCTTTTTTATTCTTTTATGTTGGATTGCTCACCCATGTAGTAATTCAACATAGTGTTGTTGGGTTTCTTAATAGACCTAAGATTTTGTATATTTGAAATCTACAGTACTGAGAGGAATCTTTTGGGATATCAGAATTCTTTTAATGTTTATAATTTGGTCGGGTTTTGAGCTTCTAATTGCAATGACTCATACCCAAGATTCGAAATATGAATTTGGTACTTAATGGCCCTAGGATTCCCGTGACGATATGGTCAGGTTACTTACTCCTCGCTTCTAATAGTAAAAACTATGAACGCAAACCAACATGAGTCCTTCTAACACGTTTTGTCCTCAATCACGTGTTTGCTACAAAAATTCTCAAAAGGTCACCCATCATAAAATTGCTCTAGTTGAATTCGGAGTTCCTATAGTTGAAACACCAAAAAGGAAAGTGCACCTTTTTGATATAGGTAGTAACTTTCAATTCTTTTTAAGATTTTCTCATTCATCTATACTCTTGATTGCTTTCCTTCGAATGTCATCTTTACTCATTCATGTACTCTCTTTGTCCGAGACTAGAGGCCACCCCTATGATGATAGAGATAGATAGTTTCCTAAATAATGATTGTTTGTGTTTTCATTTGCATGGCCCCCTATAGTGGGGCCACTTACTTAGCATTCTTTGAAATACTCAAGCCGTGTGCCACATTATTTTTCAGATCAAGGCAAGGCGCACTTTTACGGAGGACGGTTGCTTCACGAGCAGAGACTATGACACGTGCATAGGGTAGATTCATATTTAAATTTCTAGGTTTAGGTTAGAATAGGTTGTTATGCATTTCATTGTTTTAAATTATTTTGTATTTCTCTTATTTTCTCTTAATTTCAGTATTTCGTATTTAAATACGTAAGGACATGGGTGTGTTTTCTAGAGAATAGTTGTTTTAAGCGTTTTTCGAAGTTTATGTAATAAATGATGGTTATGCGAATGTCATAGAAAAATAATAATAATAATAATAATAATAAAAAATAAATAAATAATAAATAAAGATATAAGCCAACAAAAATAATTATAAAAAAATATTTAAAATAATAATAATAAATAAATAAATAAACCAAAAAAAAAAAAATTCCTCACTCCTCTCCACTAACATCTCATCCCATCCCACAATTATCTCTCCTTAAGCCATCTTTAAGAAAACTGAAAAACAACAGATTGGAGTACAAAAATGAGAATGGTCTTTACCCAGTTGAGACTTTCTGTAGATTTACTTGAAGATAGATTTAATAAATAAAATATATATTAAATCTTCATTTTCTTTTATTTTTTTTAGAAATCATAGCCAATTATAGTTAGATGTTCATTAAATTATTACAATGGTTTAGCTTTGAGTTAGAAATTAAGTGTCAATCATTATACGAATTCTAGTAAATCTTAAATTATTACAATGGTTTAGCTCTGAGTTAGAAATTAAGTGTCAATCATTATACGAATTCTAGTAAATCTCACTAATATAAGATTAAATTTATATCAGTAGTCAAATGAATAGATTAAAAATAGAATGACCAAGAAAATTTGTGAACAGTAAACATAAGGAAAGATTTGGAAACAGGGATTCACTATAAATTTGTTATACATGAGAACAAAATTAAAAGGCAACATAGTAAATACAGATATAAAAAACAGTAAGCCTTAGAAATTAAAAACCACAAACTAAATATAGAGAGAAAGATAAATACATATGGGAGTAAAGCACAGAATAATTTGAAATAACTCTATCTATTTTTTTTATACTACAAGAACCATGGAAAATAAATTTTTTTAATAAAAATATAATTATAGAAAATCATTTCAAGACTTTTAACAATGTAACCGTGTAAATTAGAGAAATAATTTTATAGAATTCAAACTTGAAACTGATGTCATTGGCTCACATAGGTTGACTTGAATTTCAAAGGACAGAATCTAACTTTCATTAAATATATATTCGGGACAACAACTTAAGCTAACCAGGTAAGTGGTCTTACTATCGGCATGGTTATACTTGATGTTGACACGTGCCTGTGGTTCTGCACGTGTCATATATTCTGATATGTGTGAATTATCTGTGAATCAGTATGCTTATATTATGTTTATGTTATGTTATAATATGTGAATTGTATGATACTAATTGTGGTACGATGTGTTTAAGGATATGTTTGAGATTGGATACAAGAAGGATGCACAAAACAAAATGTAACGATAGGAGTAAGATACGTTCATGAAACGTTAAGGTTAAGTTACATACCGGAGTGCTATGGATAGGAGAGATTGATGAAAGAATATGGTTAGGATATGGGTAGACAGGGATAAGTTTGTGATAGATTGATAGAACGATAGCATTAGGGTAAGTTCCTGTGATGATATGACTAAGGTACGTTCACGTAACGATATGACTGTGATAGGTATAAGAACGTTTAGGCTACGATAAGTTAGGAACGATATGACCACGAAGTGTTTACGATATGACATGTTTATGAACAATATATTGTGATGTGAGGTGTTATGTTTAGATTTTTTTGTGTGACCACGAAGGTAATTGTTGAATGAATTGCACGTTATGAAATGACATGTTAAAAGCATGGAGTGTTATGTTATGTTTTCTAAATTGTATATATACAATATGTTATGAATGACATGCTATCACGATAAATGAAATGAAATGTAACCCCGTTAGGATTATGTATGATGCGTAAAGTTAAGAATGCGAAATGACATGTTAAGCATGGAAGATGATAGCAGGGTTATATTCATTAATGACAAAACTAGAAATGTTGGGGGCCTCATGCATTATGTGTGCTCATGCATTTAGGGGAATACCCCTATTCAATCACGAGGGTACAGACGCGTACATCCAATGGCAAGACAATGATTGTTATGTTTTACATACCGTTGTCGTGACGGTTACTAGTTCTAACGAGTGTTCGACCTAAGGAGCTTCCAGAGTATGCTCGCCCAAGGCAAGTGGCTCAGTGGTGTGTGAACCGACTAGTGAGCCCATACTCGCATGTATGGGTTGTGTGTAGAATATAGCCCAAATTACCCGTTAGTACAGTACCGTTAAAATAGATTAAAAGAATAGGTCCCGTCATTGCATTCACATGTTCTTGCATGGATATTAACCTTAAATTAAAACTCTCATAACATTTAATCTTTTGCATGGATATTAACCTTAAATTACCTTCCCA